CCTGAATTCTTTATAGTAAATGTAAAAAAAAAATTGCTATCAGAGGGTTCTTTTTCCTTTCTTTCCTTTGTTGTATAAAGACATGGGGTGGAGAGGGTGCAAATTTTTATATCCATTTGTTTCTGGGAGCAATTTTTCAGCAAGTCTGCAAGTGTCTGAAGAATTTTTGCTGTCACATTGTTAAACATTTGCTTGGAGTCTATAGAACTTAAATTCTCTCTTAAATTTCCTCTGTTCTCCTAGGTCTAGCAGCAGCATCTGCATATACTTAAGCATTTTCAGAATAACATATGGGTCTGTGACCTTAGCAGGATGATAGCACTGGCACTTAGACTGGATACTTGAAGCTGTTACAAATAAATAGAGCTACCACAAACCAGCTATAGTCCTAATGAACTGTCTGGAAATGTTGATAAAATTGGTCCATATGATTTGTTTTGCTCATATTCCCGTGGTGAATCACCAGTGGTGTAACAGAGGCAGAATTTGGCCAGCAAAGCCCATGATGTGTTTTGGGCACCATTATTTTTTTGCAAGTAGCAGGAACAGGTTCTAACAACAACCTTCCTCTGGATTAGGCTGTGAGGTGCATTTGCAATGAGCTAGCAGCAAATGTAACAGAGGATCTGAATTCTAAAATCACCGGGTGTGTGACCCTGAGAAGAAAGGCACATCTTATCTGTCAGCAGGCTCTGCCAGTGCCAAACAGCCCAAGAAGCCTCACCAAAGCTCTGCTCTGCTCATGCATTCATGCACACATGCATTCATTATGATTGACCTGCCCTAGGAAGGTCCATTAAGTGGAACTCATTTCAAGCACAGATGGTCCTGAATAGCTTAATGTCTGTCTGGTGGCCAGAATAAGTGAATTCTTGATGGCCTTAGACTTCTGATCACATACATGCAGCCAAGGAGGAAATGAAAACATGTTTATCATTTTGATAAACAGCCTCTCTCATTGCTGCAGGACACTCCATGTAACTCAGCAGAGTCAAATACTATTAAATTGTCATCACTGTCAAAGAGAGAACGTATAAGTTTTGCTACCTGAGTCATAGTTAATGACTTCCACAATGTATAACACAAATCAGTAGTGCTGTTTGCCTTTTTTATGTTTGTTTACTGATAAGTTCAGGCTTGGCTGGAATGCAGAGGCAAGTTATAATTTTGAAGTGCAAAATATGCTTTTATTATTACCTCCTAGCTAGAGGTATAAAAAACAGAGATGACTAGAAGATGGCTTTTTGGCTTCTGCCAGGCATGCACTCAGACCTTATAGGTGATTAGACATTTTAAATCACAGCCTCCCACAGCAGACTCATACAGATGATAAAATATTTCACTCTGTGGTGTGTAAACTCAAGGTGGCTTTATAACAGAGACAAAAATGAGCATTATTTCAGGAGTTAGTGTCCTCCAATTAGAACAAAACCATTTGCAGGGGTAACAAACAGTTGTCTCTGTTTTACAGCAAGAATGATCTATTGTTTCTACAATTTTCTATTTGAAGTCTGTGCAGAACAAGGGTTTCTGGGAGGCTGGGGAATATGGGCAGAGTTGCAATGACACATTGCAATGCCATCTTCCACATTGCAGGACCCTGCCTGGCAGGCAGTTCTGTCCCTCTGGCTTTGGTCACATTTCCTCCATGCAAAGCTGAGGCCTCCTGTGAACTGAGTGCTCAGAAAGGATCAGCTGATCTCACTATCAAATCCTGCTGATGTTTGGTGTGAAGAAGGTGTAAGTCACAACAGGTCATTTTCATTCACCTTTGAAGCTTCTTGAAGGAAGATCAATGCTCTTCCTGATCTGCAGGTTCCAATTCCATTTCTAATCTTCTGGTTTTCTTGGTACAGAAAGAAATTATTAAAAAAAAAAAAAAAGGCAGGTGGATAAAACAGCCACTTCATGAAATGTAACTGTCAACATAACATTCAGAAGACATTTACTTTGAGGATTTTTAGGCCCCTTTCCTCTCCTTTTAAATTCAATGGCAAATCCCCTATTGACTTGAATGAGTTGGATGAGGCTATTGTTGTGGAATCAAAGCCAGAAGCTACTGTAGCTCAATAGACCATAAACTTCAAAAAACAGAGACATTTGTGGGTTTTATGACAAGGATTCAAACTTTTGCTGCACTCACAGCCTACCAAGTCAATAATTCCCGTTGGTTTTTTTCAGAACTCCCAGCCATGTAATATCTTGCCAGATTTTCCCTTAATCCAGATGAACCATTAAAGAAAAAAAAATGGCTCAGGAAATTCATCAGATATTGAATTAGAGTATTTTTTGGTGCTCTCCAGCCCCCTCCCCCAAATGAAGAAAGTTGGAAATAAAAAATAAAAATCACAGAATGCAAAGGTATTTCACATGTCCATCTGAACCACATTGAGTGGTTTTTGGTGAAAACTGAAGATGGATTTGTGTTTCTCTCCCCACTCAATTAATTTCCTCATTTATGCAGCTGAAGCAGATTTAAATAGAACCTCCCACCCTCACTATATTCATGGTATATATGTTTCTGTGAATGATGTAGTAAGGAGTATGCTTTTTCAATTAGGCTTTTTTTCCTATTCTCACTGTGTCCATTTATATCTGTCTCTATTCCCATTTTGTATCTGGATTTTTAAAAGTCCCACATGTACATGTATGGTTGGTAAAATCCTTATAAGAAAACACATTGCATGCAATGCTACCATAGACTAAACATCCTTTAATGCATATATCTGATCCCACTGAACAGATTTTTCAGGAAAACAGGCTGTATAACCTCCAGAATTTTCTCCATGTGAGGTGGATTTTTTCTTCTGTCAACACTGGAAGGCGTCTTTCTATTATTATAATTATTAATATTTGCATACTTTTATAGACTATGTAGATAAAACTTCCAATTAATGTATTTAAATTTCTAGCAGTTAAAAAAATGGTTTTATAGTGTCATTATGTTTTGCCCCTCCTAAACAACTACAGAATTTGAGCTAAATTCATTACTGTTCCAGCAACTTGAGCTTCCACATAACAATTAAAGGTGTTACAAAGCTCTTCCACCACAACCCATAATTTTGAATAGATAACCAAATAAGCAAGACTAGGTCATGTGGTTCTTAGCACTCATACAGCAAATTTATAGAGAAAATTAAACATTTAGGTTATTCACAAATATTTACCACACAGTCTGTGTCATCTAAAATTAGAAATGCTTTTTACTGTGTACATTATCTTTATTGTTGAAGTTGCAATCAATATAATCACAAATCTCTCTTCTCCTAGGGCATGACCATAAGATGGATTAAACCAATGAGAATCTTTTCATTGCTTTCAGTATGATTTGGATAGGGGAACAGGGAGTTTGTGTGAAGGATTACTTCATAGAAAATGCAAGCGTTTGGGGCTGAGTTGATTATCACAATTCCTCTTACTCCTCAGATACACTCCAAAGCCCATTTGTCAGAGGATGGCTCTCTGAATTGTTGGGATCTCTGTTTTTTGACACCTATTGGCTTTCAAAAAGCTTGTGTCAGCAGCCCAAACACACCTAGTTACTAAGAGGTGCAGCAGCATGTCTCTCCAGATGACTTCAGTGTTTACTACAGAGTTCATCTCATGCTTGCAAACTCCCCCATACGACCAACATCAGGCAAGGCAGAATCCTTCCTGCCTGCCCGCCCTGTGTTTCACTAAAAAATGCCACATTTGTGGAAACCCAAGGTAGCAGGATTCACTCCTGCAAGGGAAATGCCATTGGACTGCCAGACCTCTACCAAAACCCCTTGTTCACAGCCAGATGTGGATCAGCATCTCCACACTTCTTATTCTCCCACCTGGCCACACAGCACACAGTGTCAAAAGCTCTCAATATTCTTTCAAAAAGAGTGAAATCCAAAGACAGGAGTAATGTGGTTTATGCTGTAGTCAAAGCAGCATGCGCTTAGCAATTCTTAATGGCATGAAGAAATAAAGCTTTTCTAGAAAATCTTGCATATCCTGCCCTTCAGTGAGCAGCATGTGAGGTTTTGTGCTAAGTCGAAACAAACCTTGCCAAATTTGTGCTGCAATTTCAGAAAGCAGCCAGATATCTGTGGGGAACAGCCTGACACCATTAAACAGTCAGTGATTGTGAGCTAAATGCAGTCTGAACTGAGGAATGGAGAAATTACCTGGGCAGGGCATTAGCCCACCGTGGTGTTTGTCTCCTTGCAGAGCAGAGGTGAAGGGGAATGGCACACCTGGCCCTTCATTTCTGTGCTCAGCATATGGCACAAACACCAAGCCTTCATAAGCCCAAAGCCACCGTGGATCTGTCGATCACTCCCCTGTGCTCCCCTTCTAATAAAACTATTGCAAATGCTCGGAAAGAACAGTTAGGGAGGAGACAAATTAAACCTGATGATCTCACTCACAATTTAAATGTTTTCTGCCTTAAATCTGCTAGTCTAGCGAGTGGGGGAACAAAGGGAAGTGCTGTTGGGCCACCCTCTAGTCTGGGGGGACTCTGTCATTCCCTAAGGGCTGAGTACTAGCACAGAATCAAATATTTGGAGAAATATCTTGTTTCTAGATGGATTCCCTTAGTCTCTGTCCTTGTATGAGAAAATATTTGGGGAGAGGCCTCCTATATTACAAGCATAAAACCAGCCAACAGTGGCTGCACATTTTCTGTAGTATTTTACCTATATTTCTTCAGGCCCAGACATTGACAACATTATTTTTAGGCCAAAAATGATGTGGGTGTCACAGAGACTTCTAATATAAGAAAGGCAAGGGAACTTATCTACATTTTCTATTAAAAATGTAGTGTAACAGTACCTGGCTTATTTGGGAGCACACAAAAAGACAGAAATAAAACTGTAATCCTACCTGTACAGAAGCTGGGCAGAGGCACAGACAGGAGCACGCCTGGGTGCTTTGATTAGCCACTGCTGCTCTTCCTAATCAGAGTGTCAATATTCTCTTTTTCTTTTTTTTTTCTTTTTTTTTTTTTTTTTTTTTTTTTTTGCCAGAAGGAGGAACGTGTGAAGTTATAGCAGCACACAGATGCTGTAATAAGAATCGAATTGAGGAAAGATCACAAACAGTAAAATGCTCCTGTCTACCTGGGAAAGTGGCTGGGACTACAAGAAACAGACCTTCCTGTGTTGATGGCAAGTAGCTCCTCCTGTGTATATGTTTCTGTTTGTGTACCATCCATTACAGCTAGAAAGCTGCAAATCCACAGATTGTGCATAGGAATTTTGTTGTGTTCTTTATTTAATGAAATAGAAAAATCTACAAGTATATATTTAGACCACTTCCTTGCTACATCAATGCATAGCTATGTGCGCATGGATCATGTTAAGATTTACCTGAAAACTGTAAGAATATTGCCCAGTATGGATGCTTTGATGAGTATGAGAGATTTATTATTGATAAATACCTAGATGAAATTATCCCTTGAGTCACTTCACGGGGCCGCTGCGGTGCCACATTAGTTTTGATTCATAAATATTTCAAAGGACAACTGCTCTTCATTTTGATTTAATTAGTCATTTGGAAAGTCAGTGGCAAGATAACATAAATAAATGAATCTTGTATTCAAACGAACATTACAGAAAGCAGGGGAAAAAATCTTTGTCTTTTAAAATCACTGCTGCTATTGCTTGTCACGGAGATTTGTTTTTTCTAATTTTTTTTTTTTTCTGGAAGAAAAGCACCGTGTTATTTGTGTCTGGGTTTCATATGAGGTTTAGCTGCACAGGGTGTTTTCCTCTCTGGAGCTCCCCTGCCAGCACTGCAAGGTGAAACCACACAGCAGTCAGGGAGAGAGCCACGGCTGGGAAGTGCTTGGCAAAATACAAATCTCATAAGAAGATGGGGAGTAAGTGGTACTAATCCCATTAGTTTCCCTTCCCAAACAAGCTGCTCTGTGCTGCAGAATCCCTCAGTGCAGCAGCTTTGTGGAATGGAGTATCTTGTTAAAATCCCTCACTGTTCTTCTTGGTGAACGTTGTGTTGTTTGTAGAGCCCACAGGTGCTCCAGAGAGCCACAGGTGGGTTTTGTGCAGCACTGTAGGCTCTGTGCTGGGCTCTCCTCACTCTTTCCATGTTGGAATCCCATGGGTAGTGGTGTCTCTGCCAGTCTTGGGAGCACCCAAAGTTTCCTCTCTGGGTCTGTGTTTGGCAATCAGCTTCACCCCAAGTGAGAATGGGGAGCTCTGCCAGCAAATATTGGGAAGAATGTTCTCTTCTTGGTACCTTTCCTCAATATCAGGCTGCCAAGGCATTAGAATGGAGCAGGGAGTGGTCCAGTGTACCTCAGACAGGAGATGTAGTTAGACAGGAATATTGGTGGGTGTTGTGGAATGGAATATTGTGCAGACAAAGATCATTCTTGCAGATTTGACAAGAAGGTGAAAGATCAGGGGCTGCCTTAGAGGAACAAGAACCTCGTGTTTCCTCAGAAGGTATTTCTGGCATGTGGATATCTGGTTTATATATTAAAGATACGAAAGGAAATGTTTTATTATTTTAAAAACACATTCAGATTTTAAAATTATGAAGTAGTATTTCATAGCTTGTTACACTGGGAGTGCAATTCAGCTTCTGAACTCATGATTAAAACCATGCTATGAATGCACCTGTGAATGATTATGCTTTAGTCCACAACCTGTCATTCTGTTATTGCCTAATTACCCTGATAAAAAGAAGCTTTTCTTTTTCTGCTAAGCACACTCATAAAACTGTAGGTGAAAACTACAGCTGGTTGTAACCAAAGATCAGCTGTACAAGCCTTGAAGAATTTCATGTTCTTCATCAGGTCATGAAATACAGAGGCAGCAGATAAAGCAGAGAGACACCATTAATTCAGCCCTCATAACTGTTCAGAGACGAGAAGCTCAAAGAGTGCTGTGTGAAGAAAAAAGTCAGGTGCAGGTGTGGACTGGAGCCTAATTGCTCTGTCAGGATTACAATAAAGAGAAATGTTATTGTCTGGAATTTTGAAAGGAGTTAGGATAAAACAATGGCTAATATGAAAGTGTAAGGCAAGTCCCATTGAAGTCACTGGTAAGACTCACTGTGACTTCAAAGCCAGCAAACGTGAACTACAAAGGAATGTCTTCCCCTTTCAAGTTTGGTTGTAGTCAGCCCATGGCTGCTTTTGTAGATGGCTGGAGAACAGTTCAAAAGCCCAATATGCTGCTGGTAAAAATTAATCCAAGGGACATTTGCTTTGGCCTTTGTTTTATCCCAGACTTTGCTTTGTGGCTTTTGACATACTGACCTGGTTTAAGTCAAAACTTTTTCCAATTTGGTGGTTCTGTTCTTGTAAAGACAAACTCCCAAAACTTCCCATGGGAGTCCCACTGACGTCAGTGCTTTAGCTCACACAAAGATTTGGGATTTGCTGTTTATTTTGTGCATGAGAACATTTCAAAAGGTCACCTGCAACTTTCTACCTTCTTTATCTACAATATTGAAAGGTTTCAGACCAGTTAATCTCACACTGGGTTTTATTTACAGTGTGTAAATGTATATAATTTAAAGCCGTAATGTGTCACTAAGAAATCTTGCTTGAGTCCTAATTCAATATCCACAGGTGTTCAGGTGAACCAATGTACTCACACCCAAACAAAGACACTTCTGAGAGGTGGCAAGGACTGGGAGACCCCTGTAAGCAGTTTGGCTGATGGATGATTATCACCTTGAGCCATCTCCACCCCATGGCCATGTGTTAGTGTGTATAAAGCAGGCTGCACCTCACTATTGCCCTGCCACACTGTGACTTAGTGGGATTGGGATCAAGCTTTTGGTGGTTCCCAGTTAAATTTCATCAAAAACACCCCATCAAGGCTGCTGCTTTGGCAGTTTGAGTCCACGTTGCAGAGGAAAGATTGCATTGCCTTCTACTCCTACCAGCTACTGCTCTGGGACACAGCTGGGCTGTGTGGAGAGCTGGCTTTGTTTTCTCTTTCAGAGAACACAATTATTTGTAGGAGTCATCTTAACATTTTTAATAAATGTCAGGGCTGATGAATGGTCCTTTTGTCCCTTTTGTTGTGAGATCTGATCATGGGTAGCACAGCATCCCAGTAAACAGGGCTGTTATGCAGTCCTCCCTGCATGGAACAAAATTCAGGCTAAGGTTGTTTGTACTGTGAAGGGCATGAAGTTGATGTGTATTCCCAAGCATCACTTCCTGCCAGGTCCAGCAAACTTTTTCTTTGGGTTCTCATCTTAATAAAGTAAGGTGAGGCCAGGCCATGGCAGCCTCAGAAGTCATAAATGATTCTTTGTGGCTCATTCGGTAGACTCTGTCCTAAAAGCTGCCTCCATCACCAGTGAATGATGCAGTAGCAACAGTGGGAGCAAAACAAAAGCCAAACCTTGCCATGAAACACAGACACCAGTTTCTGTTGCTTTGCCTATTCTGTTGCACATGTACTTTCATGATTCCCTTCACTACTTCAAGGTCTTTTTTGTTTGAAGGATGTAATGCTCCTTTCCCTCTCTACAATTTATCTTGCCTGCCACTTGGCCACAGCATATACCATGGGCATCAGGCTGCCCAGCTCTCTGCCATGGATATTATTATTTTCTTATTTGCCCAAATACCTCTCCAGAGCAAGTCCCTTTTTCTGGGGAAAGCAATGCCCAGCATTTCCCATGGGCTCATGAAGGCCCTCAGGTGCCTCAGCAGAAATTGCTGTCACTGGTGCAATTTCTCCTGTGGGCTGAGGTTTCATTCCTTTGTTGTATCATTACTGTAAAAAAAAAAAAAAAAGATACTTATAACTGTCGCTTTTATACTGGGAATATCATGCTTTGTACCATATCCTTTAAAGTGGTATTGAAGCATCCTGTACAGTCAGTAGGTGGTTATGTCTGTGTGTTTTTCAAGGCTTGTGAATAATATATAATTTGTTCATCTATACTGGAGTTTACTATGTTACAGTCAGTGCTCTCAGACACACATATTTTTTAATGTTTCATTTTTCTGTTCCTTTCCCTTCAATCTTCTTCCAGGCTATTTTAAACTCTTTCACAGGCAACCTCATATTTCTTGCATAATTATCTGTGAAATTTGTTGGACCACAGAGTATGGAATAACAGAAAAGCACCTGCACTGGCTTTTGAAATCAGCCACAAAGGAACTTTCATGCAGGTTGTGCATATTGCCAGTGCTTTTAGGAAATGAGTTGGGTTTATCACTGGTGAAAACCAATGAGCAAAAAGGAAGGTGCTACTAAAATTCTTAGCAGTATCTCTCCCTCTAAATTGTACCTGTAAGAAAGGCCTCTGCAGACATGTGAGGTGAGCCCATTCCACATTTTCTGCAACACAGGATTTGAAGCATTAACTCTCAGGCAGTAGGATTAGTGGTTTAGTCTCCATGGTTTACTCTTGTCCTGTTTTATACCAGTCATGCATCAGGGGAAAGAAAAGTCATTCACTGATACAGAAAAATAAAATCAAGCCAGAATTTTCATTCTTCACAGACTGATTTTAGATCACCTCAAGTTTCAGATCATTCCACAATGAAATATTAGCACACATGTACATACTTCAGATTTCTGTTAGTTTGAGGATCACTAGCCGCCATCACACTTCATCAGGGCAGCACTCCCAAGCCAAACATGAGGTTTCTGACCAGTGGGAGCAGCCTGACCTTTAATCCTCTCTGGGCTAGCACCTCACACCTCTCCAGTCATGATTGGTGCTGCTCATCCTTATTTTTCCATGTGTAATAGTTGGAGCAGAGAGAGGACAGCATTCACAGCACACATTCCATTTGCTGTGTTTGCCCTGCTTTCTCCCACCCAGGACCCAGAAATAAAAATGTCCCATCATTTATTTTTAAATTATGGGTAAAACACCAATTGTGGAGCAAGCATCCATAATTCAGGAGTGTTCCTTGAGGACCGAGGTGCTCAGCCTCAGCATCCTCCCACAGCACTGGGGCTGCCCCAGCTTGCAGCAGCTGAGAGGTGGCCATGGGACATGCACAGACACTTCCTGCCTCTGCCTGCAGTGAAAGCAGGATTCAAGCCTTGTAGAGTCAAATGAAAGACTCCTATTGACTTTGGGTCAGGTCCTTAGTAAATGCTTTGTTAGAGATAATCCTGTATCTATCAGCACTTACATCAAGTGAGAACAGTTCACAGTC